ATCCTGAGGTCCGGGGGAGGGAAGAGGCCGAGGTGCAAGGGCTTAGTGGGGGCAGGGAGCGCACCCCAACCCACGCGTACCAGAAAAGTCTGTTTGAGGTAACAAACATGACTGGGGCGAAGCACTTCCTCAACGCTACGCTTCCTGACGTGGATAGGATGCAAGCGAAAGACGAGGTGCTTAGTCATGCGGGGTATACCGTTGTGAGGCATGCCTTAGAGGTATGCGAACTATCTAGATTTGACTCTGTATGTTTGAGTTTTTTGTCCCCTTTGTCTGACCTCTGATTGTATTGTAGAGCGCGAGCTGGACAAACGCTCTAGCGCAGGAGTATGCAGAGAGCGTTAGAGATCGTGCCAGCTTGCAGAGGTAGTGCGAGCAGCTCCAGAAGGAGAAGGACGGGCTGCAGAAGGAGAAGGGGGAATGGGAGAAGCAGAAGGGGGAGGTGCAGAGGAGGCTGGATGAAGTTCTCCCTTCAGTGGTCGAGCTCCAGAACGAAAATGGTGTCCTGACCACGAAGCTTGCCCTCGAAGAACGAAAGAGGAAGATCTGTGAGGAGAGGCTCGAGGCTCAGGACAAGTACATGGACAAGATGAGGGAAGCAGCCTCGGAGCTGAAGAAGAACGTCAACCTGCTGGTGCACAACGGGATGGAGGAGCACATTGGCAACTTCCTCAACTCCAGCACCTTCGAGGATATCCTCAAGCTGTACCGGCTGCCCACCGCCATCCTGGCCTTTACCGACTGCAGGAAGAAGGTGAAGGCCCAGTACCCAGAGGTGGACGTGACAACGGTCACCTTTGGGGAACAGGAGGAAGGAGTGGAGGAAGATGGCGAGAGTCTCTGTGCGGACTTCCGTCCTCAGATTACTCTGAGGTGGGAGCGTGATGCAGAGGGGCGCACCATTTTTCCTCCAACCTTCGATGCTGAGTTGGTGGCTGTGGAGGGAGAAGAAGAAGAAGGAGAAGAAGCGCAAGATGCTGGGGTTGAGGCGGTGACGGCCGAAGTGCAGCCTCCGGAAGTGCAGCCAGTCTCCTCTGACGAGGTGCAGCTGGTGCCCCCTCCTGAAGCAGAAGTGCCAGTCCTGCCTGCTGTAAACGAGCCACTTCTACCGCCTCTTCCTGTTAAGGAGCAGCCTCCTCCTCCAACAGAGTAGCTTAGGTTTTTGCTAGTTGTATTTGTAAATAACATTTGTTGAGATTTTATAAAATTTTTAAAGTTTTACTCTTGATCTTCAGTTTTGGTTTGAACTGTTAATTTATCTTAAGTGAATGACTTCGGATAAAATAGAGTAACTTCTTTTTGTGTTATTCCACCTTTGTTAAAGTTCTGATCCTTGACCTTGGATATATAAGAGGCGGACTTCAAATACAGAAATGAGTGAATCACTTTAAGCGTAAGTGTAATAAAATCATAACCCAACAAATGAAGTGACTGAATAAGTCAGAATGATAGGGACTGAATCACTTCGAATGTGAAGTGAAGTTTATTAACGATGTAGAGGAATGACAAAGTTTTCTGGAAAGAGATGCATTAAGGATAAAATTTCTTTAAATTATTGACATTCCAGACTCTAGGAACCCTTTTCCCGTTAGTGTTCAGTAGGATATAAGCACCTGGGTGCGGCACTTCAGCGACGGTGTAGGGGCCTTCCCAGTTTGGTGGCAATTTCCCAAATCGAGTTTCGAACCCTGTTAGCCCTGCTTTCCTGAGAACAAGGTCTCCTACTTTGAATGATCGGGGTCGAACTCATTTATTGTAGAAGTTTGCTATTTTCTGCTTGTAGACTAGAGTTCGAAGTCGTGCTTCTTCTCTGAGGTCATCAAGCAAATCAAGGTTCTCCCGAAGCAGTTGTCCATTCCTTTCTTCATCGAAATGGGCGACTCTGAAGCTTGGAACTCCTATCTCGATAGGAATGACTGCTTCGGTACCGAAGGCCAGATGATAGGGTGTTTCTCCTATTTCAGCGAATTATAACTTTAGAATGCGCTTTACCCGTTATGCATATTTGCTCTAAGGTAACATCGTAGCAGAAGAAGTAAAATAATATTTAATCAAATAGGCTAGGTATAGAGGAATACCTGTGGCAGTTCGACTCGTAGTTCTGTATGCCCAGAGGACGTTGTTGAGCTCGTCTGCCCATCTAGCCTTGTGTTGTTCCAGCCTTGGTTTTATTCCTTCTAAGATGCACTTGTTAACAGATTCGACCATGCCATTGGACTCCGGATGGTAAACCGAAGTGAACTGCAGTTTAATCCCGTAGCTGGAACAGAAATCTCGAAAAGAGGTGCAGTTAAATTGAGTTCTATTATCAGCCACAATCTGATTCGGGATCCCATATCTACAGACGATTGAGCTGAAAACAAAGTCTTCAACCTTCTTGGAAGTAAGACTGGATAGTGGCCGAGCTTCAACCCACTTTGTGAAGTAATCTACACCAACAATTAGGTGGGTTACACCACCAACCCCCTTCACGAATGGGCCCAAAAGATCCAATCCCCACTGTGCAAATGGCCAGGGTGCTACCAGAGTAGTGAGTTCTTCTGCAGGCTGGTGAGTCAGGTGTGCAAAGAACTGGCATTTCAAGCATTTCTGAACAAAGAGAGTGGCATCTTTGTACATGTTTGGCCAATAATAACCCTGTCTAAGGACTTTATGAGCCAAAGTTCGAGCACCCACGTGACTTCTGCAAACACCTTCATGTACCTCCCTGAGTGCATATTCTGCTTCATAGGGGTTCAAGCACCGTAGAAGGGGTAGAGAGAAAGATCGCTTATAGAGGACTCCATCAAGAAGTGTATACCGAGATGCTTTCCTTCTTAACTTCATTGCCTCCTGCCTGTCCTCAGGTACTATCCCATCGCGTAAGAAGGAAAGGATTAGGTCAGTCCAGCTCGGCGTGCCTGGGTCGGTACTGATCTCCATCATTCGTGGCTTCACGAAGCTTGGTTCATCTAAGACTTCCACAAAAACTGATCTGGAACGTAAGGAACTATCAGAGGCGAATTTAGAGAGTGAATCTGCCTGTTCATTCTCAATTCGGGGGATTTTGCTCAGACAGAATTTCTGGAATTTGCACTTCAGCTCGGCCACCAAAGCTACGTATTTCACCATCATGGGATCAACAACTTCGCAAATTGAGTTAATTTGGTTCACCACCAGTTGGGAGTCACTGTATACTTGGATTGCACTGAGTTTTAATTCCAAGGCTAGTTGCAGACCCAGTAACAGGGCTTCATACTCGGCCATGTTGTTCGTTGCGTCGAAGTTGAATTTCAAAGCATGTTCACTTCGGTATCCATCTGGGCCAATCAAGAGAGCACCAGCTCCTGAACCTTTGCTACTAGATGCCCCATCAACATATAAGGTCCAATCATTGGGCTCCGGAGTAAGAATGGAATTACTTGGAGTGCACTCTACAATGAAATCTGCCAGTGCCTGAGCTCGGATCGCTGATCTCTGCTGGAATGTTATCTCGAACTCCCCCAGTTCTACTTCCCACTTAATTAATCTTCCCGAACACTCAGGCTTTTGCAGAATCTGCCGAAGAAGTTGGTCTGTAAGAATAATGATTGGGTGTGATTGGAAATACGGCCTCAACTTTCTGGCCGAAGTGATGACTGCTAAAGCTGCTTTCTTAACTATAGGATACCTCAGTTCGGCTCCATGCAGCACACTACTGATGTAATATATTGGTTTCTGCTGCTTGGCTTCTTCTCTTACCAGAACCGAACTAATGGCTTCATCTGAAATTCCCAAATATAGATAGAGGATTTCTCCATCTTTGGCTTTAGTGAGCAGAGGTGGTGAGCTAAGGTAAGACTTCAGCTCGTCGAATG